ATTATTAATGTATTAACATTTCATTCGTTTTGAATTCGTTTTGAAAAATTAAATACTTGATCACAATTCTTTTATCATTGATTTTTGATTATTTATCAAATTAATATCAAATTAAGCAACTAATATAAATTAATAACGAAAGTTGTTATATTTTTCTTTGTTGTTTATATATGAACTCGAATAATTCTTTGAATTCAAAAATAATGTTACATATTAGAGTACAAGTACAATTAATTTTTCTTATCATTTCACAAATATGAACATATTTTATATGTGGAAAAATATTAATATTTAGACAAAATGAAGATATCTATGAAATGAGATAAACAAGTTTTTTTTCTTTGAAAATAGAAAGATTTCTTATTGTGTATTAAATTCAAATGTAACAATAAAATTAAATTTTAAGAAGATAAATAGATACAAAATATAAATTTTTCCTATAAATGAGTTATAGTTAAAGAAAATAATTTTTATTAATATTTTTTTGAATTGTATAATGTATTATATATTATTTTTCTTCTGTAAAATCAAATTTGATTTACCATCGTAGAAATAATAATAAAATTCTTATAATTTTACATAAAAAATCGTATTAAAATTATTAATTAATTAGTCTGAACTTTTTTTAAAACGTGAAATTATTTTTACAGTTTTAAATTCGTTTTTATGTACAAATTTATTGAAATTTAGATATAGATAAAATAACAACAAAATAAAGAAAAAACAATAAAATAAAGATATTTTTTTTTCAAAATTTTAAAAAATTCAATTGACTATAAAAATACCGTAAAGATACTGCAAAGACAAAAAATTTTTTATAATTGAATCTAATTTAAAAACTACAATTTCTCGTTGTTTTCATATTGATTTTTAAAAAATTTTTTTTTATCAAATTATTGAACTCTTGTATATAGCTTTAAGAATAGTTGGAAATGATAAAAATTTAATGCTTTTTGAATTTTCGGTTTAATATTCGATAATAATTTGGCGAAAAAAATATAGTAAGCTTCAGAAAACTGTTCTAAGAAAAACTATTCGAAGAAAAACTTTAATTTTTAACTTTATTTTTATTATGGATTTATTCATGAAAAAGTTTTTTCAGTATCTTTACAGCTGATTTTTCAAATTTTTGAAAAATATCTTTACTCTTTTATTTGTTACATGATATAAAATCATTTTTAAAAAATAAATTCAGAATTGTGAAATTAAAAATTTTATTCTTTAAAATGAATTATTGTTATATATATATTTTTCTTTTCTATTTTCTTTTCTACAAACAAAGTTTTATTCAAATTTTTTTCTTTTTACAAATTTTATAATAATTTAAAATATCGACAATTTTTTATTGAATATTGATTTATTTATACTCTTCATTATATATTGTTTCCGCTTTCTTGTTGATAATTTTTCTTACAATTTAATTCATAATTTAAACTGTTTTGCTTAAATGTAAATTTGTAATTAGAATAATAATTATGTGTAACAAAAAGAATAAACAAAAAAAAATTAAATTAAATTTATTTTAATTTAATTAAATATACAATTAAATATAACAAAATGTAATATGAAAGTAAATTTTTTTTAAAATTTTTATAAAAATAAAAATAATAATTATAACAAATTTTTGATAACATTTTTTTTATTTATAAATGAAAATTAGATAGTTCATTTTGTTTTTTAGACAATATATGTATTTAGACAATATGTATTCGTTATACGTATATCTATAATTCAAAATATCTGTCATATAACATGTACATTGTAAAACTTTTAATCTCATCTAAAATATTAAAAGATGAACTTTAAGAAGATATTTTTTATTAATTTCTGATTCATATGACATCATTTAACAACATTTTTAACATCTTTTATATATGTTTCTTATTTATATTTTTTTTATATATTTCCAATGACCATTATTATGAGTTAAACTTTTAATTTATACTTGATAATGTAAAAAATTAACTTGTAAAGTATCGATTCTTTGAACATTTCATTATAATTCAATATAATTTCAAAATAATATTTTAAGAGGAGCTGTTTAACTTTTTTAATTTATAAAGAATAAATATTTATTTTTAGATAGAACAAATTTTTTTGCAAATTATTTTATGTTTATTATTAACGATAATTAATCTTTACTTAATATAAACACGTTTTCTTGCTTAAATAATTAGTGAAACATGTTACATTATTTATTGTTATATTTTTTGTTGTTATAAACATGAAAATAAATATACAAATGAAAAAAGCTAAATTATCAATAGAGGATATCAATAATATTTTTTTTTCTATAATCTTTTTTTTCAATAATATTTTTCATATTTAGTGATTTATTTTTGATTCGACATTTGAATTATATTATTTTATTAATTTGTTATAATTAATATGATAAATTAGTTACGCTCTTAATAATATACGGTAATATTAATAACTCAATTAAAATGCTTTGTATTTCATATATTTTCATTGATTATTGCGATAATTTTCAGCATCAGAAAATCATTTCAACAGAAAATGTACATTAGCAAATTAAATTATAGAAATAAATGAGCATAGCAATTATATAAATATTGTCAGAAATACTATTAAGTTGCTTTTATAATGTGTAAATTTATATGTTAATAATAATTATAATATTGATTATATAAATAATATTGAGCGCATTTTTAAGTTTTCATATGAATATTTCTTTAAAAAAGTTCCAGAATTTTATATATAATTTCGAATTAATATAAATAATAATTATTAAATAAATTTTTTTTTAATCAAGCATGTAAATATATGTCAAAAATTATCATGTCAAAGAATTATATTAAAATAAAGAATCCTAAGAAAAAGCCAACCTGAAATCTGAAATGTTATAATTATTTCTACATATATATATATGTGTGTGTGTGTTCATTAAAAATTACATTGAATAGAAATAATTGCGAAAGAAAAATTAGAAAAGTATAAGAAATTTTAATTATTTAATTTATATTAAATGCTTAAACATTAAATAATAATAAATCTATTTATATTTTGAAGATATTAAAATAGAATCAATCTCATCAATAAATATTTACATTATGCTTCGTCTTTTTCTCGATGACTTTTTAATTATGTTTTCAAACTTATCGTACTAAATAGTTGTGAATAATTTACTTGACGACACTTATTTTTCATCAAAAAATTATTAACAAAAATAGTTTAGAATAGATTAAGTCGTTGAAAGATTATTTAACCTAACTTTATCTAAAGAAAATATAAATCATAAAGTTAAAAAAAAATCATAAAGTTAAATAAATTTTTTTATCATTAATTAATTTATGTTAATTTTAAATTTAATTTCATTTCAAATCAAAATTAAATGAACTTAATTATTAGTTGATTTGCATTAGTTTTCTTAATCTAGCTGCCGAAAAACTATCAATTATTTAACAATAAACTTAATTAAAATTAACATGACCTGATTTAATTTGTTTTGAAAAAACAGTTTTAATTCATAATTTTTTAATGAATAACGACTGTTAAGTAAAATCTTCATAACTCAAGATGTTAACATATTAATAAATCACTAAAATCAGAAGATGACTTTTTTGTAATATAAATATAAATAATATAAATAATAATTTTGTAAATAAATAAATAATTATTTAAAACTGTTCCAATAAGCACAATAATAAACATAGAATAATATATAAAAATTAAAATATATATAATAATATAGATATTAATTAATAAATTGATTTAATAATAGTTGAAGAAATATTTGATCGTTGCCATATTTCTCTACGATATAAAACTATTGCTGAATGAAAATGCAATTAACCATATGTTTACATTGCTAGTCATGGAGAGAAATTTCCTCGATAATACGCAATCACGTAACTTTCAATTGGAACTTCGAAAATTCGATTTGAAGCAACGCATACATTTAATATACACACAGTGGCGTATTCAATTCCTACTAGTTGATGCGCGCGATATCAATACATTTTTTCTCCAATTATTTGGTAAAAAAGTTATCTGAAACATCGTAAAGTGAAACGTAACCATTCTCAAATTGATAACTTATTTATGAATCCCGTTCTATATTGCGCAACATAATAAAACATAAGCCTTTATATTTCTATATATTCCCGAACAATTCAGTCGGCTTACTCCTCTGGTAACCGATTTTCTCGGCATTCTCTACTATCCTAGTATAACAAGCAAGAATATACGCGTGACAGAAATACTCCGATGTCGCCTCAGGCCGTTTCAAGTATAAACCCAAAGACATATATAAACGCAAGTCCCGATGAACATTCACTATAGATCGAGAACGCAGCGCAGTTCTGTTTAATGAAACTCTTATATAAATTTAGCATAAAATATGTATAAAATGTCATGATACATGTCATGTAGGTACTTTTTCTTCCAACTATTTATTATTCTTTTTTTTGTTGCTTAATATGTCGTCGGTAATATATACGAGCTAAAAATTGAAATCTGCGAAGATATCTTCAATATCTTTTTATATTATCGTTTAATATTTTTTTTTGTTTTTAATTTTTCAATTTTTCAATATTCCTTTTTTCTTTTATTTTTTATTTTAAATTGATATATACAAGTTCTTACATTAATTATAATATAATTATTAAATTTTTCGATTAATTGAATGATAAAAAATATAAGATATAAAATTAGATTTTCTGAAAATTTCTTTTTTAATTAAGCTGATATTAAGTAATACAAATAAAAAAATTGTTCTATCATCTAATAATAATAGATATTTTAATTTGAGTTATCCCGAAGAAAAAATTTCATGCAAAAAAATTCTTTTTCCATTACAACTTTTTTATAATTTTTTAATTTTTTTATATTGAGAATATCGAGTTAAAGAATAACATTATTTCGCAATCATGCCACAATGAATTATTTATAAGAAGACCATTGATTAACTTTCAAGAAAAACTTGGATAGGATAAATAAAACTTTTATCTTCGATATAGTTTATAAGATAACTTAAAATCCGACTTATTGCTTGTTACAGGAGAGCATCCAGCAGCCATGCAACACGGAAACTCGAGCAATAGCGGTGCAGCAACAAGAACGCTCGCGTTGCTCCTGTTGCTCCTGCACGCCGGTTCATTTGCGAGGTGACTGGTAGATCACGGACTCTTTCAGTAAGAACATGAGCGAATGCCGTTTTTCGTAATCAAAAAAAAAAAAAAAAATTGGAAAGAAGCGAGCAAGAGTGAAGAAAGAAGTGTTATCTTTATTAGCACCAACCATCTTCAACATTGAATATATAACCTATATATATATCACCTTGAATCTTGCTTCTAAAATTGATCAGAGAAAAGAGAACAGATGAACCAGCGATTATCAAAGTGAGTTTCCTAATCAAATCTCGAATAATTCGGGAATAATAATTGGTGACTGATTTCTGACTTCTTATGATCTTCGTGGATCTATTGATCATTTTACAATTGCTTCCAAATGCCGCAATAGTAAATATATAGCGACATGTTATTCGAAACCTGCCGCTAGACGTTTCCTTTTTGATATCCGTAGATGTTCCGAATTTGTCGACGTGAGTGAAACTGTTTTTTCAGTGGTGATTCTTTATTCTACATTTAGTCGACAGTTTACCGTGACACATATTGTACGGATTCACGAAAAAGATTTTTCTTTTGTTTCGCGCAGAAGGAAGATCGAAAACAAATGAGTCAGCCAAAATCTCGAGAAAAGGACTCGACAACATGTAAATGGGTGTTTAGTATGATACAATTAAACTCGACGCAATCCACGGAACACTTAGCGTCAGCGATAATCAAGGATTTGCGCGCTATTCGTTATCGTAATTAACGAGTATACCGAGTTTCTGCCAAGTTGGATGACTGCCACGTTTCTTTGATAACGTTCCCTGTTCATGTGTTGCAAAACGAAATAAAACGCGCACTTTTCAAAAAATCGTTTTGCTTTAAAAACTATACATATTTTAGTTTAAGAAGCGCAACAAGCAAAGTAGCAATATAGAGAGTTCTGTGTTCGAACGTATCCAAAAAGACACAAAGTTTTTCTTAAATCTCATTTTCATATAAAGACTTAAAATCTAATTAAATTCATGCTATGAAAGATTTGATTTAATACAATTTAATTTGTATTATTAATATATAAAACATATATATAAGTAATTTATCTATCTTTTTATTTAAAATGCAGTATATAACATTTATATAACACATTTATATAACATTTAATTCTATTTTGAATCTAGCATCTAGCAGAAGATTATCACTACATTATTTTAAATATCTATTTCTTAATTTGTTCGTTATTTTTAATATTTAATCTTTAAATGTGATAATAATTTTTTAATAAAATAAAATAATCTTTTAATATTGTATCGAAACAAAATAACATGCAAAAAATATATAATTTACTGTTAGATTATAAAAATTTTTCAAATCATTTAAAAAAATTAATCTAATGTTATTTGCTTATCTATTATTACTTATTAAGAATAGTATGAATGAATATAAAAAATATGAAATATTATATTTTATAAAATGAAATAATTTATTGACATAATATTATTTTAATACATTCAATTTAATTAATTTAATTATTAGAAATACAAATTTTTATATTGAATTTTTATATTGATTTTTTATATATTTTATATTTTTACAAGATCGTCGAAGATTTATTTTTGTTTTTAAATTAAAATATGAGAAAAAGCATTATTATTATGAGTTATTATTTATAACTCTAATGTTTCATTTTATTTATTTATTAAAATGAATCTATATATATCTTTCTAAAAAATGAAAGAAATAATTATTAATAATAATTTAAATATTTAATCAAGCAATCAATCGAAATTGGCAATGTGTGTCGGAATATTTTTTATTTAATAAAAAAAAATGTTATATAATTTTGAAATTTTTTTATATGTAAAATTTAATTCATATTTATTTTTCATATAATAATATTTGTATTAATTTGTATAAATTTTAAACCTACGTTTAGAAACATAATTTAAACTATTTCTAGTCAGATCTAATACCTAATCAAATCAGATAATAAATCATTTCCACAAATTGCTATAATCCAATTTCCTCTATCATTCCTTTATTGCTGCTAATGCCATATGATTGCCACTTTCTTCATCAGAAATAACTTATTTTTGATCGACAATATGCATATGTAGAAGGATCCAAACGTTGGGAGTATGCCGTGGTATTGTCATGACAAAAGGTGCCCTTTCACAACGGTTACTTGTATCGTGACAATTCCACATGCAGCCGCAATAATTTTCGTGATCAAACGACACATAGCAGCACTTGGTTTAATAGTATCGTCTGACAATGACAAATGATCAACCTGCAAAAGGAACAGAGAAATTAATAGGTACTAGTACTATTCACACGTTGATTTGGTAAACTTTGTGCTGTAATATTCAAAGAACAAATTTTAATTTTAAAACAAATTTGCATAAAAGTTATCTATTTTTGTGTGAAAATAGAAGAAAATTAAGTTAAAGAAAAAAAGAAAGTAAAGAAAGATTATACTTTGATTTAAAATATATAAAAAATAATATCTTGTATTAATTGAATTGTTAAATTGTAGTGATTTTTGAAATAATATATATATAATATAAATGTAGAAGTATAGAATTCAATATTTTAATTTTTTAGTTAAACAAAAAATTTTTATTTTTTCCTTTAAAATTTAATTTTTAAATTTTTATAATAAACTTACTTTATAGATAAAATCTATAATTTGCATGATTTAACATAAATTATATCTATCGTTTCATTTAAATGTATATCTTTTCCTTTTTATACATACATTATAAAACGTGTATTTCTTTATTTACATGTATCTCTTTATTTACTTACATGTATCTCTTTATTTAGTTACAAAAACATTATATTAAGATACTTTCATTATTACATTTAAATATTTACATTATCAATTAATTAGACTCAAGTATGTTATATTTTAATATCACTGATTATATAATATTTGATTACGATTATAAAAAAATAAAAGTAAAATATAATAAAAAAATTATTTTTTGAATTACTAATTAAAAAACAAAAATACAAATACTTTTTGTAACCATTGTTTAACTAACAAAATATCAGATAACGTTATTCTAACCATCTTTTGTTTCCAATTACTCTCTTCTATGTATGTTTCCTCTCTTGTACGTTTCTGAAAAGTGATCTAATATCAAATTAAATTATTTTTAATAATGTTTCTTTAAAAATATGTTAGTTACAATTTATAAAACGAAAATCACGCAATTTCTTCTTTTTTACGATAAATTGCTATATATTCTTGTACAGTTTGTGTATTCTTATCTTTATAAAAAATCATAATAGGAAAATGAATTTTCAAAAAAATTGAATATTATACATTATAATATTTCGTTTTGTATTTTTTAAAACAGCTAAATCAGCAATATTTTTTTCCTAGTTTATTTAAATATTAACAGTATAAAATAAAAAATTATTTTCTTTTTTCAGTATTTAATTTTTTTATTAAGTAAATTACGAAAATTTAATATTATATTAATAGAAATCTTTTGATCAATTATCATTATTATTATATATTATTTTATGTGATAATGAACATATTTAAAATGTTTTATATTTTATTCTTTTACAAAACTAATAGGCAATTATTTATTTCTTTATTATAATTTTATTTATTTATAGTTATTTATTTATAGTTTAATAAATTTTATATTTTCTAAAATAAAACATATCTTATTATTATAAAGAATATTATATTTTCTAATAAATTATTTATGTTTAAATTTACAAGAAATATATCTCAAATAAGAATTCGAAGAAACAATATTAAATTATATTATAAATACTATTTCCATACATATATTCAATAATTATGCAGTTTATTAATTTTGAAAATATTCTTTCAAATTTTTTTTTCATTACTAACATAAAATTTCAATGAGATAAATTTAAAAAAATATATTTTTATTCATTTTTACAATATAAAAAAAATTATATTTATATTTTTCTATATTTTTGTATATTTATTTTATTTTATATATTTTTTTGTATATATTATTCTATATTTTTGTATTTTCAAACATATTCAAATATTGTAGTAAATCTTTTAATATATCTATTAAGCGTAAAGATTAAATATATTCAAAGCAAACAAAAACAAAACATATTTTTCTTATTTCAAATGATAAAAATGCTTTCTGTTTGGTTTTAAACATTAATATTAAATCAATATTATATAATGTTTATTTCATCTATATTATTTTATATTAGATTTTAATTTTTTCTTATTTTGTAAAAATAAATATAATATATTTTTTTCAAATTCTCTTAACTGAAATTTTATTTTAATAATGAAATAAAGTTTTTAGAAAAAATAGAATGATTAAATTAAATATTTGCACAATTTTTTTCAATATTTTGTATATTCAGAAATTATTAATTTGATAAGTGAAATAAACATACAATACACATATGCAGATTTATTTACGAATATATAGAAATTATATTTTTATTAACTTAATATTTTATTTATATGTTTACACACATATATTTAATTAAAAAAATTATATGTTATATAATTATATAATATATATATAACTGATGAATTCATTAAATTCATGAAACAATTTTCAAATTCTTTTTAATAAAAAATAGCAATTTATTTTATATAATATTAAATGTTTGGCATTCATTACATTTTCAACAAATATACAAAATATTGAAAGAAAAGGAATGAAACTCTGAAAGAAGATAGACTAATTCAAGCTCAATTTTGTAAAGGAAATTACCATTTACGAAAAAAACTATTTCGCTCATTTTCAATGTATCTTTTATCAAACATAAATACAAATAATTGAGTTATGTTGCTTTAAATCGTGAACAACATAATGGTTGGTTTTCACGAATTCTTGAATAAGAAGCAACATATTTTCCATGCTTCAAGATCCACCGTGACCCGAATATTATGACAAAACCTTGGTTTGGAATTCTGCTAGAATGCCGGAAGCGAGCTGCATTTAAATTCTGCGTAAATAATGTATGAAATGATTTTAATGATTTGAATAAATGATTTACACAAATGATCACACAAAAAAAAACTTCCAATCTTAATTAATTAATATATATTCCAAAAATATTAGAAGAAAATATTATTTTAATAAGTGAATATTCATTATTCAATTATTTAATTTAATAATTGAAATAACAAAAGCAAACAAATTATCATTTTTATTTTCTTTTTATATTGTCACGTATATTTTTTTAATACGAATTTGTTTTTATACATTTTCAGTGAAATATATTTTATTATCGTATATATTTTTTACATTTTCTATTCTATTATCTATAAAATATTTAAAACATTAAGATTCATGTATATGTACTTATTTAGAAGGAAATTATTTATTTTACCAAGTTAATTTTTCAATATTGAAATTCACATTTTAAAATATTTTATTAATTTGATTCCATTTAACTAATTTTTTAAATTAGAAATTAAAAAATTATTATTTCTAATAAAATTGATTTTTGAAAATTTTAAAAACAAATATGACAAATATGATAATTCGAATAATAAGATAATGAGATAATCAATAAGAAAATGAATAAATGGACGCGAAGTGTAATAAATGGAATATAATTAAATTTTGGAAATAAATTTAAAATATTATTCCAATTTTAATTTTTAATTTTTAAAAACTAACTTACAGAATTACAATATGAAAAACATGATAATTTAAATAAATAATATCAAAAATACATAATTTTAATCGAATATATTATTTAATATATATATTTTTAAAATAGATAAAAAAATTACTAATGCATATAATAAATAAAGCATAATAAACTATCAGAAATAATATTAGGTTGAAGAATAATAATGAAAAATTATCAAATGAATATAATTTTATATATCTTTATTACTGTTTTTAATTATTAATAATCTAATTTGTTTCTTTTTCTCTAATGCAAAACATCTTTTCGATAATAAAACTTTTACATAGCTTTCTAAAATA